ATTTAGTATGATCATGGTACTGTGGTTATGTACCAAGACATCTTTAGTTTGAAATAAACTCAGAACATACACAGCACAAAAACAACACACAACTCAAACAAACATGGCAAAATCATGAAAGTTGTTGAAGCTGTGTGATGGGTATGTGTGAATGAACTCTTTGTATTTTTCCCAGGTTTTCTATATGGAGAACTTTCCTTTTCTTTTTTTTGTTTTTTTGAGACAGGGTCTTGGTATTCCAGGCTGGCCTTGAACACACGACAATCCTCCTGCCTCAGCCTCCCCAGTGCTGGGATTACAAGCGTGCACCACCGTGCCCGGCTTAGAGATTTTTGTAAGTACATATTTGTAATATTATGCCATAAATGATATCATTGGATTCCTGAATCTATAAATTGATGTATAATACCTGTTGAATAATTACTACTCTGTAACAGATATTTTATAATTTAAATATTTTAAGTTTAAAGAAAAACATGATACAATGCTTTTAATTTGTTCTTACATTGCATGGTTAATATATACACACAGAAGAGTTTTATTCAACTTTTTCATCCATGGGTTCAAAGTATAGGCTCATTTTATCTTCAATGTCTTCTCCTTCCAAAACTAATGCTCTATTGTCAGAAGTTACCATAATAATGACTACAGACATCTGAAGCATACCAAAAGCTAAATTCAATTGTAAAAGTACTAACATATAGCTGAGCATGGTGGCTACGCCTATAATCCCACCAGTCTGGGAGGCTGAGGAAGGAGAATCCCCAATTTGAGCCCCCCCTGGGCAGTGCAGCGACTTGGTGAAACTCCATCTTAAAATAAACTTTAAAAACAGCTGGGGGTGTCACTTAGCACAAAGGCTTTGGATTCAAACCTTAGTACCACCCAAAAAAAAAATTTTATAATTTTTACTTCCCTCATTGAGACTTTATTGCAATCTCAAACAGAATATAAAGCATAAAAATAGTAAAAATGGAGTCAATGTGTAATATGTGATGCTCTTACACGAGCAGTACAAGTCCAGATGCACAGGTCCCCAACCCCAGCTTTTCTCACCATCTACCTCTTCTAACCTGGTTCCCACCGGCTTTTTCCTTCGAAAAACACCCAACGCCTACGTTAATTCTTAAGGTGTATTTAGGAAGGGCAGTGACTGCCGGGAGCTACTGTTCAGATATCACTGGTCCTAAGCGGACAGTGTACATTCTCACTCAGCCTCGTTCCACTTCACAGAGCAAAAGCTCTCACTGGAATTTTCCTCGCTCTGCTTGTGGGACGAGGTCATGTTATTTCTCGTGTCTTCACATTTCCCAACAGTTATTTAACTAGTCATTGGGCTGGTGGAAAAGAAATTGTTTTTCTACAGCATGGGTCAACCGGAGCAGAAGCTGCACGCGAAGGGATAGACGAGCCCGGTGCAGCGGGGTGATGGAAGAGTCAAGGGTCAGCTTGAAGAGTGGACACAGATTCAACAGGGGCACACCAGTGCCACTGGGTCATGGTGGTTAGATATGGGTCCAAAGCAAAATGCAGAGTTTTGGGGGAAGCAGACGCTTGTGGAGGTTTCAGCACTACGTCAGTGAGCAGACATCAAGGAGTTCAGGCCCAAGTGGGGAAAGTACTTTATGGAAGGCAGGAGGCACCACCAGAGGCCTGACGCAGGAGCCAGGGTGCAGGCGCCCGGAGAGCGCTGGTGCCTTTTCAAATCAAGAATGTAGAGCACGTGGTGGTAACCATGGGTGTGTTCCCACCACTCCGGTAGACAGGCAGGGCGCCCTGGGCCTTGTAGCTGCCACGTTGTTCATCCCATTTCAGCTTTTGTTTCCCTGGGAAAGAGCCAAAAGCATATGAGCAAACTTAGAAGACCTTGAAAAATTTCTTCAAAATCTTGAGAAGGGGCAAGGACGGTAGCATTGTAAACTTTTTTCGGTAGCAATTCTGGATAAGAAACAAAAACTAGACGGGAGAACAAGGTCATAATCACTGTTGGAGAAACCCTTGTGTTTCTGCAGTCCGCCTTTACAGAGAAGCCGGTTCCAATACACACTGCAGGGGCAGAAGATAAGCAAATATTTATTGCTTGGCCAGGGTCACTTCAGAGTCTCAGTAATTCTCACAGCGGACTGCAGCCTGACCGCTGCAACTCAGGGAAGAGCACCCTTCCTCGCACTCCACGCCCACCCAAATACCCGCTGCTCCTCCAACCTCAGCTTCCCCGACATCAGCACTGCCCTCACTTGGCGAAGAGATGTGAGAAACACTTTGTTATGTATACTTACTGGCTATAAAAGGACACAAAATGACTTTAAGCTTAGGGTTGGTTTTGCAAGTATGAGAGGAGCTATCTTGACCACCCTCGGTTGAGGTAAGGTTGTGGGGAGGGGCTGAGCCTCGGCTGTGCTGGAATCTCCGTCGTGACCCCAGGACCCTGTGGGCCACATGGTCATGGCATAAGGTCTCACTGGCTGTGTCGGCCCTCATCTCACATCCTAGAAAGGCAGGCGCTTAGGAGGGGTGAAGAGGGTGCTGGGCCCGAGACACGGTGAGCTGAAAGCCGCGGACCAGTAGACGTGCCCATTTCAGCCTGGTGGGAGGCACTGAGGTGGCAGAGGGAAGGCTCGACAGGGAGGAAGAACTGGGCAGGGTCACCGGGCTCGCACGACTGGGAAAGGGGTGGGACATGAGCCACTCTGGCTCAGCTACTGTGTTAGCAAGCCTGTTTCCTCATCTATGAAACGAGGAGTAACAGCTCCTGCCTCTTGGAGCTGTTATGAAGATGAAAGATGCTCCTAAGTGCGGTACACAGCAAGCTCTGTAAGTGCTGAGTTCACGAAGAACTTGCTGAGGAACAAGTTTGGGGGGAAGATAGGGTTCATGCTGAGTGGCATGAACCTGAGGGACATTGCCATTGCAGTTGAACATTCTTGTAACTAAACAGACACACAAGATTTTATGGGTGAAGAGCTGTCTCCAGAGGAACAGGTAAAATTGTTTAGAAATACTATGCAAAAGCCAGGCGTAGTAGTGCATGCCTGTAATCCCAGCACCCTGGAGGCTGAGGCAGGATTGCTGAGTTTGAGTTATAATAGTGAGTTCAAGGTCAGCCTGGAATACAGAGTGAGACTGTCTCAAAAAAAAAAAAAAAAAAAAAAAAAAAAAAAAAAAAAAAAAAAAAAAAAAAAAAAAAAAAAAAAAAAGGAGAAAACCTAGAAAGAAATGGATAAAAGTGACAAATGTATCCTCAGGAGAAAGTTGTGGACAACATAGCCAACAGATGGCACCAAAGACTTTCAGACTGCAGTGGCAGTTTCAAGTGCCTCAGAACTCCTGACTGGAGCCGTCCTACCTTCCCCAGCCAGGTGGCTCATTAGCGACTACCCTGCTTCCTCCACTGCAAAGCTGAGCTAGGGCCCAAGAGGTGCAGTATCTGTAACTACACTCTGCTCCTTCAGTGACCGAAAATAGCTGCATGCTGGTGTCAACTTGAGTAACAAATGCCCAACTATCGGCTCAGTGTAGTTCTGGGTGTGGGAGACCCGCCCGAGGATTACAGCTAGAATAGTATACAAGGGAAGGGTAATGTTCTTTGTTTTGTTTTTTTCAAGTACCAGGAATCGAACTCACAACGTTGCGCTTGCCAGGCAGGCACTGTGCCGCTGGGCTAAATCTCCAGCCCCAAGGGTAATGTTTCTTTGGAGGGGCTGTCTTCACCTCCGCCTTGGTCGGTCCCTGCCTTCCAGCACACTCTTCAGCCCGCAGCATCCACCCTTCAGCCTTCTGGTGCAGACCTTTGGCCTCCTGACGGGGCTCACACGGGACACTACAGCGAGCTCCAGGCCTTTAGCTGGATCCTGTGCATCACCAGTGCACACACCTGCACTCTTCCACACCTGACACCGTGGGTGGCCCTTACAAGCCAATCTTGTAAGTTCTTACGCATTCATGTACCTTGTATTAAATGTTTCTCCAGTATGCACTGATACAAGCTGTGAAAACCAATTCTCATCAGTTCAACTCCTACGTAGCTTTCAAACCTATCACCCATCTACACCACTGCCTTACTTCAAACCACGTTTCTGTTGCTGTGACAAACCCTAACTGCAGCTGCTTTCTCAGCACCCAGCCTCAACCTCCCAACCTCTGTGCAGCCCTCCATATCCAGCTGCAGCATTCCAAGTCCAGCTGTAGTTATGAATATGCATTCGGAAGCCAGGCTGCCTGGGTTCAAATCCCACTTCTACCACTCAGCACCTGTTTGTGACGTGCGGCAAGTTGCCCAAGTCTCTGCCTCACGTCTTTAGCTATTTGGGAGGGTTCAGACTTCATGGTAGGGAGCAGACCAGCGAAAAATGCTATTTGAAAGCTTGGCATATACTATGTGCTCAGTGCAGGCTTAGTATTGAAGATAAAAATTCAAGTTCTTACACAATGAACTTGGCTGCAATGACCTCACTGATTGGGCTCTTCTGGGATGATCCAAGTATTCACTGCTCCTTCCCCACTGATCCAGCGAGTGCCACGTGCACTCCAGTAAGACATCCTTGGCGGCTGCTGCATTTGGCAACGTCCGCTACTCTTCTCACCAAAAGAACTGAATTCTCTGCACATTGTCCTATTACCACCACTTAGAACTTCTAACAACTGGGTTGGGGATATACAGTTTCAGGCTGGGGATTTGCTTATTTCACATAAAATCACAGGAAACCAGACTTAAAATCGTTATTTTGGACAGTTTATACATAAGGCCAGTGGCATTTATTTCTAAAAGAGTAACAATCCAGTAGTTTAAAAACTATGCCCCCGGACAGGACAGGTATCCTTTTCATTTCAGAAACACTTTTCTGAAAATGTTCCAAGTGCTAGTGGCTCAGTAATAAAAGACCTCTGGCTGTCACTTAAGATTCTCCATTCCCTCACCAGCAGCATAAAAAGGAAAACCAAAACCCAGCTTCTAATATTCCTTCTGAAGAACAGCAAGAAATGTTACCAGGATAACAAACTCAAAACTCGAATAATATTTTCTTTATTTACAAGTTAGAATCAAGAGACAAAGACCCTCCAGGGGACCAAAGGGGGAGATGACGGAAACCCCCAGGGCCCCAAATGGAGCGGAAGGAAAAAAGAGAAAACAAGTGTAGAAAAAAAAGGTCAACGTTAAAAAAAAAAAAATTCCCCCTCTTTCCCTCCCCAGGGAGGCTGAGGGGACCACGGCCCTACACAAAAGCCTCACCTAGCTTAATAAATTAGAACGAACAACCTCAAAACAGGGCCTCTCATAAGTGGACAGGGCAGCTATGGCCTCAGGTAACCTCTGATCAGGGCCTCTGCCGCTCTCAGCCTAAACCTCTGCCCCGCCCCACCATTCCAGACAGGTGCTGTGTCCAAGAGGTCACTCCCAATGGGGCTGGGAATTCAATCTTCTTCGATGTCCCTCTTTCGGTAAATGTCCCTGCATTCCTCCCCCTGCAGAGCAGGCTCTCCTACAGAGGGGGGAGGTGGGGTGAGATGAAGTGTCACAGCAAAGGGGGCAGGGTGGGGCAGGGTGGTATGGGGGTCCGGTCCTGCGGAGCCTTCCTGCCCCATGGTTTGGCCCATTAGCCTGAGTCTGAATCACTGGTGTCTGACGAAGAGGACGAGGAGGAGGAGGAGCTGGAATCGGAGCTGGAACTGGAAGCGCTGAGGCGTGACACCGCTACTTGTTGTGCAGAGGATGACTCCGTTTTCTCACTTGCTGTGGGACCAAGTTGAACATCTCATGTGAAAGTCTATACCTTCATTTGTTAAGAAAATCACAAGAGAAAAGCAATACATGTGCAGCAGCTTCGGAGAATACTCACCTTTTTTGGGGGGCTTTTTAGTGGAATTAAGCTGCCCACTGACGTCTTGTAACCGCTTTTCTAGTTCCCGCTTCTTTTCTAGAGCTAGTTCTTCCTTTGTCTTCCCCACAGGTTTCTTAATGGCTGGGAAAAGAGTGAAAAGAGCAGGATTCACTAAGGTTGCCATAAGCACCCTGAAGTACTGGCCCCGAAGATCGTCATTCTCATCCTAAGCTGTGCTCAGAACCGCACAAGGACTGCTGGATTTGCTGGTGGACCTTATTTCATACTCACTGTAAGGTTTCCGGGGTTTCTTTCGTAGGCAGGAAAGGACATAGCGCTCAAGCTCTCGAAGCGTGGATGGTTTGAGCGTTTCAAAATCAATCTCAATCTCTTCTGGGTTTGAGTCTCGTAAAGAGGGCTCCCTGGCTTGGATTATATGTACAACTCGACCCAGCTTCTCCCCAGGTAATTTGTTGATATCCAGGCTCAACTGGCGTTTCTCATCGTAGCTCATGGGTCTGCTTTCTTCTTCTTCCTCTGAGTCATAACCAGTAGCCAGAGTAGGTGGGGCTGTCTTTGTGGCCTTTTTGGGTAGCCTGTGGGTAAAAGAAAATTGTAAGCGGGAAAAACATCGCTGTCTCTTCTAATGTGTTCCCATTCTCAACCCAGTAACCCTCATATCCTATCTGCAGTGCACTGTTTGAGTTACAGGGAGATACTGGAACATGGTAAGAGCAGAGCATTTTACTGAGCTCTTTCATGCCAAGCATTTAATGTTTGCCTGGGGCTTGGAAGCCTACATTAGGTATACCATCTTTCTGTCTCCTAAAGCACTACAAAAACCACATACCCCATAAAAAAAAAAAAAAGAGACAAAACTGTATGCTGATTTAGACTAGACAGACTAACCCACAGAACAAAAAACTGGCCAGCCACTTGTTTTCATAAATACAATCAGGTTCAGCTGGAACACAATCATACTCATTGTCTACACACTGCCTATAGCTGCTTTTGGAATGTGTATCAGAGTTGAGTACTTGTGATCTTACGGCTCTCGAAGCCAACTGTGTTTGTTACCTGGCCAGTTACAAAGTTCAATGTCTCCCGTTTAGACAAACCTTTCCCAAGACCGGGAAATGGCACCCCCAAAGTAGTAAAGGAGAAAGCCCCCACCAAACCACTGCTTCCTATTCTGTTGGAACTCACTTGCTGCCACTTCCCCCAGAGGGTCCAAAGCTGGGGGTGCCTAGTGTAGCAGCAGTGCCAGCTCCACCGCCACTTGCTTTTTTGCTTTTCTTAGGCTGTGGCAGACGGGCGGCCCGAGGTGCCTTGTCGTCATCATCAACTCCAGCTCGGCCACGATGCTTTTCTGCCTTCCGTTTCTTCTTTTTTTCCTTTTTCTCTCTCTTCCGTTTGGGCTTAGATATTGGGCCCTGGGACAGGGCAGCCAGTTGCTCATGCACTGCTCGAAGCTGGGGGGGAAAGGGATCAGACATGAAGTTTTACTAAGGTAAAACCAGACCCAGAGAAAGTTAGGACCAAGACAGCATATGAACCTTTCACCCAGCACTTCAGTGCTAAAATACCTGTTCTTGTAGTTCTGCCAAGCGATGAGCCCTTTCTTCCTCTGAGTCAGAGCTTTCACTCTCTTCTTCTTCCTCCTCATCCTCGTCTTCCTCCTCCTCTTCCTCAGAGGAGCTCTCACTGCTACTTTCCTCACTAGAGGACTCTGAAGATGATTTGGCCAGGCCAGGGGGCAAAGCAGTAGACACCGGTAAAGGCCCAGGTTCGAGTGGTTCATCTGGCATCTTGGCGTAACGGAACTCAAATACATCCTACAGAAACACATACTCTCAAAACTATGCAAGCACAGAATACCCTAACTATACCCAATCACCCACCCATCATTACAGCTCCGATTTATAATACAATGGGATTTACAAAAATCAGGAATGGGAAGATCTTCACACTGAAGATGTACAACAGATCACTAAAGTATACCTCCTTGCACCTGTATTTTTTTTGGTGCCAGCAATCAAACTTATGACCTTGTGCTTTGCCAGATAGATGCTGTGCCACTGAGCCGTTTCTCTGGCCCGCCTACATAATTCTTTGAACTTCACCCTTTACACTCACCTGCAGCTTTCGTGCCATGGCCACGACATCGTGGTCTGGAGGGTTGTACTTGTAGCAGTTGGAGAACATAAGCCGCACATCAGCAGCGAACTCCTGTGCATCCCGGTAATCACGATTCTCCATCTTCCGCTGCAGAAGGAGGCAGCATCAGAAGCTGCACAGGCAGAGAGACTCACCTTCCCTGCCAACCCCAGACACCACAAGAGCCCTCTCTGGAGAGAACAGTGGGGATGACCTCAAGGATCTGTGCCCTGGTTCAAGTTTGAGGTCAAAGCAATTTGGGTGAGTTGAAGAAATACCTAGGTCTAGAAAAAGAAAGCTATGTCTAGGAATAAAAAAAAAAAAAAAAAACAAAAACCACAAAACTATTTCTAAGTGACATGTGTCCCCTGACCTTCCACCCCTTTCATTTCCCTAACCCAACACTTTTTAGTACGTGACTGTGAGCAGTGCTCCTGCGATAACAAAGAAAACCTATCCTTATCGTAAGAAATGCAGATTTCAGAGTACATGGTATTTTCTGCCCTATTACAATTTTATGAAGGTAAAGTACCAAGAATGAAAGACAGCTGTGTGCCCATCAGGATACATGAATAGTTTTATTGATCCCTGGGTTCCAAACACTGCCTGAGCATCCCATCTGCCCCATGCAGTGGGTACCTTGACAGTGCTGAGGTCCATGGGGTGCTTAATGATGTCATGGTAGTCATGCAGGCCAAGAGCAGAAGCGTCCACTGGTTTATAGAAAGGCCAGGCATAGGCAGCATGCTTCTTAGAGAGTAACTCCTTCAAAATGCCATTGCAATGTTTTAACTGTTCTGACAACTTTCCCTTCTTAGAGCTCTGGTGTTGTTGCTGAGAGTCAGGCAAGTCTTTACGTGGGGGCTTGATGGGGCGGCCACTCTCTCTACGCATAGGGGGAAGACGTGCTGCCTTAGGCTCAAGACTACCAGGAGGACTAGCTGGAGAACCAGGAGCCAAGATGGCTGTAGGCGTGGGGGTGGTAGTATCTGCTTTCCGTTTAACCCCTTTTTTCTGCAAAGAAAAACAACAGGCGCCTCTTACTTCAGGTTCATTTGACTGAAAGCTGTTCCTTCCCCCGTTCAAAACAAATCCACACATCTATACCTTGGCCAGGGGCTGAGCTGGAGGAGCTGCAGAGACAGCAAGGAGTGGCGGTCCAGCAGAATGCAGGGACTTGAGGAGAGGAGAAGAAATGACCGATGGATGGGGAATGTTGAGGACAGTGGTAGGTATTTCAGGTGGTGGTGTATATAGGGCAGTGTGTGACACAGACGAAACAGCAGGCACCTGATGGGCACTTGCAATACTGCCCTGGAGTGCTGGAAAAAGAAAAAAAACATTTAGTTTGATTCTCTTTCCCACCTTTAGGTCTTCATTTACTAATTTTTCATTCTTCCTACCCGCCAACTTGGCCCCCTTCTTATGGCTGTTCTTAGGGATGGTCACCACAAGCTCTTGTTCTTCCTGTGGCATGGATGCCACTTTCTGTAGAAAGATCTTTTCCAGTGTTTGTGCCATCAGGACGATATCATCAGTGGGCTACAGATACAAAAACACAAAGTTAAAGTTCAAATGCTGTATCAGCAGAAAATAGACACCATCAAATTTCCCACCCCAGGGCATCACCCCTGCCCTTGTACATGTCTGTCATCAAGTGCTACATTACCACACCAGGCCACTAATTGCTACTTTCTCTCCAAATTGTCTCTCAAAATGAAGAAAATATAGATGGTCCCTAATGTCCCAAGTTTAAGAGAATGAGAGATGATGGGGAAATCTGATTCTGCACTATGTGGGTCTCTGAAGCTTTCTAACAACAGGGCCATCACCACCAACCGTAAAACATGCTCTAATTAAATAACCTTTAACTATGAAGCTCTGAAAAGCCACATCAATGTTTAGTAGCATCACTTGGAACTCTGGATTTTTAGACCCAGATAACACGGGTTAACACCTTTTTAGATAAGAAGCACTTTTCAAAAAACTTTTCATGTCAATCCAAGTATTACCTCAACTGCTAACCAAGCACAGAAAAACTCACCTTGTTGTAAATATAACAGTTGGTGAACATGGTATTAAAATCCTGCATACATTCTGAGGCAGCCCAATAATAGGTGTTCTCTAATCTCCTCTTAATAGTACCCATGTCCATTGGTTGTTTTATAATTTTGTGATAATCCTAAAGAAAAAACCAGCATGTCAGAATCACTCAAAGTTAAAAACCTGTTTTCTAAGACAGAATTTGATCCCAAGAGCACACACACACACACACTCCCTACCAAAGGACTAGTTTCCTTGACTGCGGCCCCAATTAAGCTACAGGACAAAAAGAAAACGGAATAGAATTCTTAATGCCCACTGGAAGGCCCCTACTGCTTTCCCTAAGCACCCACCTTCCATCCACTCTGGCAACTTCCCACCCTGTGACATTACCTCTGGGGTTGGCTATCCATGGACTGCATGAGGGAAAGGAAGAAGCTAAGAATTTTGGCCACCGTGGTCCTCTCCCAACCTGGGGTGGGAATCTGTAAAATGGAGCCAGGGCACAAAAGTTAAGGACACATGGAGGGCACAAAGAGCGATGCCAAGATATAGTAAGTGCTTGGAACAATCACCAAGAATCTCGAACTCTGGTGGCTATCTACCCTACCGGGGAGAAACGGGAAGTCCCTAGGGGCCGCAGTACCTATGCTAGGCTGCCCACCCCAGCTCACACACACAGTCGTCTTCATTTTCATCCCTCCCAACTCCACTGTCTCTACTCACCGGCAGACCCAGTTTGACAGCATCCACAGGCTGTCGGAACGGCCATGCAAACTGATGTTTCCACAGAGCCTTCATCACCACCTTGTGGAGGTACTGTAGCTGGTTGGTTACCCGTCCTGGTTTTTTTGGATTGGACACCTCAGGGGGTGGTGGGTTGGCAGGGGTCAGTTGCAAAGCTGGCACTGAAGCCATTGTAGGGCTCTCAAATCCCTCATACAAGAGGGAAGGCTTTCGGATCCTTTTCCCCGGTGCTGCTGCCTCTGGGCCCAGTCCCAATAACCCTGCATTGCCTTCCCCAGGGAGCCTGTAAAGATGGGAAACAAAACCAGACCTCATAATCTCACCAAATCAAGAAAAAAAAATGCCATTTGCACTATGCACTCAGTAAGTCCAGGTTTTGGACCTAGTAAGGTGACTAAGCTTAATCAAGTGGCGCTAATGAGCACAACACATCCCAACGACCTATGGAGCTTCTGTTGTTGCCCACTGCCCTCTTTCTGATTTATTTTTAGTCTACCTAATCTAATTCCCACCTTTGTAAAGTTGGTGAGCTCTGCTCAAATTAAAACAAAACCTCTAAGATAGCACCACATCTGAGCGCTACAGCCCTATAGGAATGGATCTTAAGCAAAACGGGTGGAGCTGAGAAACTCAAGCTTCCTCCTCACAAGGGGTTTGGTGGTTGTCAGGGTGGTTGAGCCTGAGGGAAGCCGGTGAAGAACAGAAAGGGAACAAAGTATGGAGAAAAACTTCCTAAAATGCTGATAAGATAGCGAAGAATCCATCTGGGTGGAAGAGGTGATCCTCAGAGTCTGACCACCACAGGCTAAAACGGACTAAAAAAATCTAACCAAGAATACACACACAACCAAAAATTCAGACAAGGCAACATTTAGCAGCCTTCAGTCTAAACTCAGCTCTTCAAAAGACAGAGCCACCCAACAATCAGGACCAGCAACCCCCCTCGCTCCCCGCTAGAAACATACAGTCCCACTACCAGTACGCACTACAGCACCTGGAGACCAAAGGCCGAAAGGGCTTTAGGTTTACAGTCCCTCTGGTCCGCTCCTGGACCAGGTGTTTCCCACACCCTAAGGTTAGAGACACTCCACCGAGATCTCATTGTTTACATCCAAAGAGCTCAGAGGAGCCTTAGCTCCACCCTCCCGCCCTGAATGAACTCAACGCCAGCAAAGAGCATCCCCCCGACGAGCCGCACACACTCATCTGGCCAGTAAAAGGTGTGCAGAAATCTGGTGACGAATTGCACACAGCAGGAACGCGCAGGGTGGGAAGACAATTCCTCTATCCCAAGTCTGGGAATCCCCGCTGCCAATTCCCAAAGCTGTCACCATGGCAACCCGACACGGCTCCCGGGGTGGCCACGAAACCCCCGAAACCCCGCGCCAGCCACCAGGCCCGCAGGACCTCCCGCTCACTTGAAAAATCGCCCAGCCCTACTACGTCCTTCCGCCGAACCAGCCCCGCCAGGCCGCGCGGCGGTCACCACGGCAGCGAGGCAGGCCCGGAGCTGACAGCTCCCACCGCCCCGGCGCCCAGGGGACCGCGGCTCGCGAGGACCTACTTGTGGGGAGTCACGTTCTGCAGCATCTTGACCGCGGGCAACCGGCGCCTCCCTCAGCCGCGGCGGGTCCGGGTGGCCTCGGGTCCCCTCACCGCCCGGCCCAGCATAACCCGGGAAGTGGGGGGAGGCCGCGGCCCGCCGGGCGAGCACCGGGCGGTCTCCTCGGCGGCCTCTCCGACAATTCCCGGCAGCTTGGCGCGCTCCGCAGGCGGCGGGCGGCAAGAAAATGGCGGCAGCCTCGGCACAGATGCGACAGCGAAGGGACCGGCTCTCCGAACCCAGGCACAGCGGCCGCTCCCGGACGCCGTCGTCAATACAGCCCGCCGTCGGCCCGCGGGGGCTCCCTCTTCCCGTCGGGACCGCCGGGCGCGGACACGGTCCTGATGCGACCTCGGATGGAGGCGGATGAACACGAAAAGTGGTTTATGGAGCCGCCGCCTCCATCTTTGAAATCCTCTCGAGGGCGGAGTAGAGGGGGTGGACAGACTCCGAGAACTGGGCGGGGCCCGAAAAAGGGGAGCTTCTGGGGCTTCTATGGGGTCTGTACTGTCCGCCGGGACCGGTCATAGGCCGAGACGAAGGCCATTTCCAAGTGGATGGACGTGGATTGTAATGGCGGCCCCCGACGACGCGAAGGCTCTGTACCGGTTGGCAGAATCCTCCAGGCCGTTCTAGAGGCTGCTCCGCTCCAGCGCGAAATGGCGCCGCCGAGCCCCGGCGCCAGCCCTTTATATATAGGCGGGGGGGCGGAGCTTCGCTGCTCATGCGCGCCACCCGGCTAGAGATTTCCCCCACCCCCTCTGCGCGCGCTCGCTCGCTCACGCGCGTGAGGAGGCCGCGACGAAAGGGGAGGAACGCCTCTCCGCGGGAGCTTTTTCCATTGGCCGGCCGCGTCGATGACGTCACGGACTTCGTTTTCCAGGCCTCAGTCACCAGGCAGAAGAGTGCCGCATAGGCCCAGCGCGAAGCGGCCGCCCGCCGTCTCTCCGAGCCAATTGGCTGCGCGGTGGTTTTGCGACTCCAGGGAGAGGCGGCTGGAAGCGGTGCAAGCGCCATGTCCCCAGAGCCCCCAGCACCTTCTCCCCGCCTCCCCTTGCCGCGAAGTCCTCCCGGCTCGGAGCACGGGGCAGCTTCGGCCGGCCGCGTGGGCGTAGCCGGCCGCGCTCGTCCGCCAGGGGTGTGGCCGCAGGACGCCGCGGGCCGCTGTTCTCGGCGGGGAACCTGCAGGGACGAGGAGAAAGGCGCCATCTTAGCCGCCGCGGCCCTAGGCCCCGAGCTCCCGCACCCACGACACAGCTCGGCAGGCCTCCCCG